GAGGTAGCCTATTTTAGTAGCAGAAGCCTAAGGAATAAGTGGAAAAGAGCAAAATCCTTTTAAGAGCAAGTAAGTATAATTTATTGATAGTAGGGGAAGGTGGGAAAAGTAAATGAATTTTTTGCTTGTTGGTCTTAAGGGAGCATATCCACAGATGCCTGGAATCAACATAAATTTTCCTAGAGAAGAAAAACTACTGGAAACAAATGAAGATTACTTTGAAGCCGGCAATCAAAAAACGAGTGCAGTTGATGAGAACACAAGTTCACAATCATTTGGGACCTGCTGATTTGATTTTTAGGGGCCGCAGGAAGCAGTTGTCTGGAACATTATACTGCAGTTGGAGTATAGGTTTGCTTCAGTGTGTCTCTTTGGCTTGGAAATAAAATACAAGCAGAGAAATACTAAGTTTTAAAGCTAGAAAAGATATTTGCAATAATCTTGTATATGAAGAAACTGAGAGCTGACCAAAGGAGATAGCGGGTCAGATAAGGCACAGCTGGGAGTGGATGGAACTCAAGAACAGAGTGTGCTCTCTCTCACATGAGCTTCAAGTTTCCCTGCGCATTTGCTCCACAAAGACTGCTCAGGGTTAGCATTATCGTGGACTTGATCTCGGTGAATGTGGAGTAAATTAAGAACTGGTATAAAGAAAGGTCCTATTAGGAGCAAAACTGATAAAGAGAGAGGACAAAGTGAAATCCGGGGATTTGTATAAGAACTCATTTGGTAATGTGAAGAATTTTGTAGAAGAGGCAGAACTCTATAATTGGGAAGAAAGGAGAGACTAGGAATAGTTATTATCTTTATTATTGTTATCAAATGATTATATGGCATTTCATCTTCAAAACCTTTGTGAACTTTAATTAAGTGCCAGATGCAGTTAAAATCTAAATTGGATGACTAGTCTAGAGAAGTGGGATGTAAAGGTTTTGTGAGAAAATACGTTGGAATTCTTCTATTCTGGAACGTCGGGATTTGCTGTATTTGAAATCCACCCTCTCCCTATACATTAATTAAAAAACAAAAGCCTTGTTTCGTGTACTTCCTACTCTGTTTACTCTCTGTCTTTGTAGATGGGGAAATGGGCAGTGCATAGTAAATGTAGATCTACTGGGTCAAGGGGAACAGGGAAGGAATATTTGGTAGTTTTATGAGATTCATCTTTTACAGTGTTTGAAAATAAAGAAATCTGCAGTATAAATTATAGAAGAATGTTTTTCCCCTTTGAGAATTTTATACTTCTGATATAAGAGCACAGTTTTGACTCTTTAAAAAGGTTCATTGTCAACACATGGCTTTGCAGTATTTTTGTTCTTCACGATGTAAATCCCTACATCAAAATTAAAATATGTAGCCAGGTGTAATAGTACACAGTGGAATCCCCACTCTCTTACAGGATCGCAAGTTTGAGCGGAGTCCCAGCAATTTAGCAATGCAGGGAGACCCTGCCTCAAAAAAACAAAACAAAACAAAAAAAAAACCAAAAAAACAAAAAAAAAACAGAGCTGGGATGTAGCTCTGTGTGAAGGCCCTGGGTTCAGTCCCCAGTGCCAGTGAATAGGTAAATGAGGCAGGAAAGAAGCCTAAAATAAAGCAAAACAAAAAACACTGTGTACCCTACAATCAGGAATAAGACTTAAAAATTAGAATTATTTTAGGAGACCTGTCTTTTTCCTTTAGAGATTTCTTTATTCATGCATAAATAAACAAAATAGGTAACTCCTGCCTCATAAGGACTTGAGTGCTATAATAGTCTTGCTTCTGAGGGCCAGGAGTTTGTCTTTCGCAGTGACACCTGTGTTTTCTGGAGCAGTTCATTGATGGAAGACATGACACTTACATTCTTGTAATGAGGTACCATTAACCAGAGGCCTTTTGTAAGGGTGTAATTTCAAACTTCATTACGGACCAAGGCAGTGACACCATCATTACTCTGGAAAATGTGCTTCTGTTGTGACTCCAAAGGGCCTTACATTTTTAATGCATTTTGCTAGAATATTTATGAAATGGCATCCCCAGCAGAGGGCATCTGTCTTTAAGGCATGCCCGCCACAAGGGTATTAGTTGACCGTGTTTCGTTGCCCTCAGTTGAGACTTTCAACTAGAAAAATAAGTTAAAGATACATGCTGAAATCTTAAACTTGTTTTGATTTAGTCTTTATTATAAGCAAAGTAAAGGAGACATACATGCATGTGTGTGTGTGTGTGTAGTTTCAGGTTTTTTTTCATCACAGTAAAGCCTTGAATATTGAGGTGATCTGATAATTCCACTATAAACGAATTCCACTATAAACGAAATAGCTTCCTTTTAAATGTCTGTATTCTGATTAAAGTATGTGTTTACCTAAGCCAGGCTTTTGCCTAGTTAATTGGCTTAAACTCTCAGAAATATTTAATGATCCTGACTTCCTGATTAAAAAAAATTTTTTCACATTGTAAAATTAATACTGTCTGTAACCTTTCTAGTGATTTCATTCAGAATGGAAGCTACAGTCTAAAAAACTCCCGGGTTAGGAGTTAGGATACTTGGATTTACGTCTCATCTGAGGTCTAGCAGTCAAGCTGGCGGTTCCTGTGCAAGGAGAGGTCTCTGCTTGCCAGCGTGACGCCTTCCCTTTGGCTCCTCCTTCCAGCCTGACCCATCAGCTGGGAACTGCTCCCAGCTGGTCTGGTGGGTCCCTGGCTCTCATGTGAGACACTGGAAAAGCTTGCAGGTGTAAGCCTGGCCATGAGTATCTGTGTATTTATTCTCATGAGGAGACCTGTCTTTTTCCTGGAGAGATGTCTTTATTCACTCATACATAAACAAAACAGGTAACTCCTGCCTCAGAAGGACTTGAGTGCTATAATAGTCTTGCCTGTGAGGGCCGGGAGTTTGTCTTTCCCAGTAGCTTCTCATCACTGAACCTGCCATGTAAGCAGGTGCGCATGCCCCCATGTGGCATTTTTAAATGGGAGAGTTTGTTCCAAAGGACGATGAGTAATGATGACCACAGGGATACCTTCTTCAAACATTTCTAATGTTGAGGTCCATAGCAGCAAATGTTCAATTTTACTTTACTCTCTATGTGCTTTAAAAAGAGGGAACTAGACTCTTCAACCTGAAAAATACCATGACTGTTTCCTGTTAATCTTCAAATAATAGCCTATTAGAAATGAAAACAGTAGTGAAGAAATAGATACACTTCAAAGGCTTGGCATATGTTTCAGATAATTTTTTATTGAACGTAGTTCCCCTTTAACCTCCAGGTTGAAGGTAGTTGCTTTCTCAAAAGGTGTCATTCTTTTCAACTTGAATGTGCTTCACATTACCTCTGTTTAAATTCTATGTGAAATTCACTGTTTTGCACTTAGAAGTACACACAGATGTGCAGCCCACAGCCCATGGTAAGTGCTGGAACAGAGGACCCGAAGAAAAGTGACACAGACTTGTCTGGTTCCACATGGTCTTTCCAGAGTGATGAGGGTGTCACTGCCTGAGTCCGTTCATGGTGCTCAGGCTGTCACAATGTGGGATGGGATCCTGACAGTTCTGAGCTGCTCTCCATATGGGGAGCTTCCTGCTGAGCTTGCATAAATTAAAAGTTAATTATTCACTTAAACAGGTGTTTGATTTTTGCAAGGAATATTTACAGAGTCGCGACAGCATTGCAGTGCATTGGAGACGGTATTTACACATTAAGTGCTTACTTCAACGAAATACTTGCTGCCCCCCCCACCAGCTCACCTTATTATTAGCAAGACTTGATACATCAAAAATCTAAAACTTCTGCAGGCTGTGGTCCATGTAGTACCTTAAAATTCAGAATTGTTTGCCAGGACCTGAAAGTTGGGAAAATTTACTATAAAAATCAAGACTTGTGAATTATCTTTTTAAAAAAATGACAGTATTTGGGAACACTGTCCTTGGACTTCCATGCAAGTCCTATGCTCCCCAGTGCCGCCTCCCCATTCCCTTCCTGGGGACACATCAGGAGTCAGACCCCATTCCTTCTGCCACGTGAGCAGCCACAACAGAATGGTGAAGGCTTATTCAGCTGCCGCCTTAGCCTTGTGCCACTGGAGTTAACTTCTGCAATTTTAGTCCTGTCTTAACAAAATCGCACCTCTTGTCTGTGATAACTTTGTGACAATTACTATGAATTTTTAAGAGCATTTCAAAGTAAAATTACTTATTGCTGTTTTAACTAGCACATTTGTGTTAGTTACTTTTCTCTCATCGCTGAAACAAAATACCTAACACCCAGAATTAAAGGAGAGTTTATTTAGCTCACGTCTTGTAGAGGTTTCAGTCCGTAATCAGCTGGCTTCGAGGCAGGGTGGTGCGGCGGAGGGGCAGTAGTCCACTGCAAGCAGGCAGATGAGAACAAGCAAGAGCAGGCAGCACTCACACCTTTAATCCTAGCGCCCTTGAGCCTAGCATTGCACCATGAATCAATTCTAGCGTCACACATCCTAGATCCAGCCACCTCTGAAAAAGCCCCACCTGTGGCCTCATAAGGCTCTGGGGGGGGACATCTAGACACAAACCGTAACATTTTAAAATGTTTCATAGCTTAAGATAGGCACTGTAGCAGTATATCATTGTTTCTATTTTGAAAACTTAAATGTAACTATGATATACCTAAAATGTACCAATAAACTTAAAAAAGTAAATGAATTTTTATTTGAGTTTTTTTTCTTACAAAAGTATAAGTCAGAGATTACTATCATTATCAAAACGTAAGTCCATTTTTAAGGGAATTATCATTTGACACTTTTTTCTTAGAGAAATAGAAATCTTTTCATGACTAGTATATTTTTATGTATCTAAGGTGACTGTTAAATATTTATGTTTGTGTATGCAAACATAAATTCATTTAACACATTCTCAGCTTTCAGTGATTGTGATGAAATTGCTCCTGCTTAAATAACTTTTAAAAACGATCTTGGGATGAACCAAGAAAGAAGGCACTCATTATGGATGTTAACTTTAGATGAATGATTTCACTTTTCAGAATACGGCAGGAGAATGACATGGTTGATTCGGCGCCTCAGTGGGAAGCTGTACTACGGAGACAGAAGGAAAAAAGCCAGTCGGACCCCAACAACAGGCGATCCAGACACCGATCGCGCTCGTACGTGGGCTTTTTACACCTTGATTCAGACATGCTGAGCTTGAAGTAGCAGTGGTCGCTCGGGTCCTCCGAAGTGCTTTGGTTCAACCCTGATTATCCCATTGTTTATCTGTCATATTTACCCTCTCATATTATAAAATTCATTAACTATGTTGGAAGCTATCGAAGTTGGAGCACAGCCAAAACAAGGTGTCATGGAAACAAGACTATCGAAACCATGTTTTTGTTTGGTTTGTGTTATTTTTAAACAAATTCACACACTCAGCTGGCTAAATAGGAATGGCCTCCTTTGTTAGTGACGTACCTGCTGCTTTGCTCAGTTTGAGGCTGCAGAATTCTCGGATATCTTGTTCCAGATTGAACCAGATGTGAATGTCTTCCCATCAAATTACCATTTGTGATCAGTAGTCAGTGAGTGATTCATTATACCCCAGCGTTAGGATTTGCGTGCTCCTCCTGTTGCTAGGCAATGCCATGTGTGAGCACAATTACCCCATAACAGATTGCCAGTCCCCCAAATTCATTTTCTTCAAGTTGATAAAGTTTCTGTGTGTGTGTGTGTGTACGTGTACATGTATGTGTGTTTAATCTGTGCTTCAAGATTTAGGCTATGCACCCTATCTACTTTCCAAAGCACCCTTTTTCAAGTGACCTGGGACTCTCTGCAGATCCTTTTGTGATCCCGAATGATTAGATGTACGGCATTGCTTACTTACGGGAAGAGGGTGGACTGAGGATGGTGCTGTGCCTGCCTGGCAAGTGCGGGGTCCTGAGCTTGATCCTCAGTATTGGAAAAACACAGGACACCAAAACTTACGGGAGGAGGGATCGAACAATGGAAGGCTGTTGGGAAGTTGAGGCAGAAACAAACTGGGTTAGGTGTATGGGGAGTCTTGAGGGAGACAGGCAAGAGGATGCAAGGTCAGGTTAACAGAGTCCAGGGAAGGAATTCTGGGTGTACCCTCATGGGACTCTGCCTTAGATGCTTCCCTTTTGATTAGAATTTAAGCCAGAGTATTTTTGTTGTTATCAGTAGTACAGCATTAATAAGCAATGACTTTCTTCTGTGATAGAAAACTACTCAGCAGTACACTCTCTTACAGATGTATTCACTGCCCCATGTGTTTTTGTGGGGAATATAATTAAACTGTTGTTCAGTTTAAAGCAGAAGCTACTTTTTATGCTATTAGTATTTGTAGGGTTCTTTGTATGGTCCAGATGTAAGTCCTTTCAGGTGTATGTATCGTAAATACTTTTTGCCAGGTTGTTGCTGGCTTTCTCATGTTAATTAATGTTGTGTTTGGATGACCAAACAGTTTATAGTTTGATAAAAACCAATATATTAGGGGTTTTGTTGTCTTATTTTTTTGTAGTTAAGTCTTTCTTTTTTTTTTTCCTTTTTTATCTTAAGAAGTATTTGCCTACTCTAAGGTCACAAAGTTCATATCTTTCACTAGAAGCTTTATAGGTTTTATTCTTGTATTCAGGGTTGTGATCCATCTCGAATTAATTGATGTATATGTATGAAGTAGAGATTGAGAGGCATTTCTCTGTGTTTGTCCAGTTATTTCAGTAGTGTTTGCTGAAAACACTGTCTTCATTGAAATGCCTGGGAGGTTTTTTGAAAATCAGTGGACTTCTTACCATATTTGTGGGCCAGTTTTGTTTTATCAATCTATTTTTCTGTCTTTATGCCACCATGTTATCTTGGTTACAGTAGCTTTATAGTGAAACTTGAATCAGTAGTAGTCTGCACCTTTTTGGGGGGAGCTTTTTGAGACAGGGTCTATGTAATCCAGGCTGGCCTTGAATTCCTGGTATCCTCCTCCCTCAGCCTCCCAAGTGCTGGGATTACAGGTGTGCACCATCATACTTGGCTCACACCCAACTTTTTTGTTCTTTATTATTTTAAGATGGTTTTAACTAGTTAATATGAATTTTTGAATCAGCTTATCAGTTTTTGTTCCCCACCCTCCAAAACACTGTAAACATTAGATTAGGATCATGTTGAATCTACAGATCAGTTTAGAAAAAAATTAATGTTACCCACCCATTTATCTTTAACTTCTTTTAGCAGCATTTTATAATTTTCAGTAGTTACTGTATTTATAGTATTTTAATTCTAAATATCCCAAATTTTTAATGGCATTGGGTTGCACATTCTTAGAATTTGTTTCCAATTGTCAGTCAGTACAGTATATCGAAAAATGTGATTAAAAATACTGATAGGATATCTTGCCATCCTTCGATCTTGTTAAATCCATTTATTGGGTTGAGAAGCTTGCCTTTTTCCTATTGTGGAAATATTTTTTGTTTTCTAAGTTATAGCCCCTGTTTGTAATGAGAAGCTGTTTCCCTTTATTTCTAATCTTGTGCCTTTTATTTATATTTCTTACCTCATCGTACTGACTAGCTCCTCCGGCAGTGTTGAATTAGCATGCGGAAGAGAAGTGGTAAGAAAACAGATGTCATTGGTTTCTTCTTTATTGGAGGGGAGGACTGAACATGTCACATTAAGACTGAGGAAGTTGCCTTCTTTTCCTAGTTTGCTGAGAGTTAGTGAAAGCTTATTTTTTAATCATCAATGAATTTTCCATTTTGTTATGAGATTTTTCTGCGTCTATGTACTTTTACACGGGTTACTTTTTCTTTAGTTTGTTACTGGAAGAGGTGCATTGATTCCATTTTGAATGATGCTCCCAGTTATTCCTAGGATAGGCCCTTTGGGGTTGTGATGTTTTATCCTTTTTGCATATTGCTGTATTCTGTTAGTATTTCATTAAGATTTTTTTCTACTGTATGAGCAATATTGATCTATAATTATTTTGTAATGTGTTTGTCAGGTTTTTGGTAACAGTTATGCTGGTCATTCAAACTAGTTTGGGAAATATTCCTTCTGTCTTCTGAAAGAGTCAATGTAAAACCTGCATTATTTTTTCAATATTTGACATAATTTACCAATGAAACTCTCTGCTTGAAATTTTCTAAAAGGGAAGTCTAAAATTGTAAATGTAGTTTCTTTAATACAATGGCGGTATTCATATTTTCTACTTATCATGTGTGGGTTTTGACTGAATTCTTGAAGGAATTCGCATACCCACATGTAGATCTTCTGTGAGTCTGTTTCTATTGACTATTCTTTTTTTTTTTTTTTTTTTTTCC